TACTTAAATTTTTTTCCCAGCTACGACAGTCAACTATTTAACAATAGATTTTTCTACAACCTCTATCCCAACAAATAAAAATAAAATAAAATTATTGTAATAGAATTATTATTAGAGTTTACTGCAGCATCTCAGTAAAAAATAAATAAAAATTCGTGGTTGCAGTTGGCCCAACAAGATTAATGGAGCCAATTCTTTCGGATTTAGAATTTTAATTTTATTTTTATTTTTTTTTGTTATTATATTTATAATTAAGTGTAGGAAAAAATTAAAATTTAAATTATAGTACGGATAAAAGTTACAAAAAAGATAGCTTTTGATTTATTGATTTTTTTAAATTTAAAAATATTTTTTAATGTAATTTTGTTATTATTTAATTATTATTTTATTTCTTAATTAGAGAAAAACCACAAACCAACAACATACAAAGTCTGTTGACGGCATATTAGATGGAATAGTAATTTGGGACATAAAAAGTTGTGAAATTCATATTTTTGGAGCGAAATGGGACAAAATGTGTTATTGCCCAAATATATGGAGCGTTTTTTGCAGTTTAATCTTTAGAAAATAATCAATGACTCAAAAGCAACTATATGGCTGGAGACAAGATGATATCTCAAAGAGTTACTGAGAGAAGCAAATGCTCTCATCTATGGAAGCATTTATGCCACACAAGGGAGGCCCAAAAAAAAAGGCATCTTTATCCATAAACCATTCCCAATTCTATAAACTGTCTATGCCAACATTCAATTAAAATTATTAGAAAAATTAAATAATTATTAGAAAGTTAAATAATAATACTTAAAATTCGTAAGTTAATTGATTAATTTTTTAAAAGTTAGTAAATAATCAAAATTTTAAAAGTATTTATAACATTACACAAAGGAAAAAGAAAACACAAACATGACACCAAATAATACCAAGAGAAAAGGGAAAAAAATGCATAAACATCACACCAAAAGTACATGAAAATTAAAAGTTACAATCACAATTAACAGCATAAATCAAAATAAATTCAACACTAATTTAAAAAGCATAATATGTTCATTGCCACCACCATCGACTCCAAACCATGCCCAAATATATTCAATTAAATCACCTCAATGTCTATGATGTGTTCGATGATCACGGAGTTTTGAGGTCCGTTCGAGATAACGTTGAAAATTTTTAGAGGCACCTTGAGTTGGATTAATACGACCTCTATCATTGTCATCATGCCAATTTATTATGTCATCTCCTTCATCTTCTACAGTCATATTATGTAATACAATTCACGAATACAAAGAGTGTACGAACAGTTGCTTGATATTTTGGTTCAGGCCATCCGCGGTGAGATTCAGTAACCAACCTGTTACAGTGCTTGTTGAATTCATTTACAATGGCATTCATCTAATGTAAATGGGATTTGATGTTGTCCTTTTCCCTTGCAAGCCCAGATCTTTGATTCTTATTGTAGTAATTGGCAACTCGTTCCTAGAATCTCGTTTCTGGTTGGTCAATGCCCACCTGTCACTTGAAATGGTGAGCCAAGTTTTAGCAAGGTCTTCCTCATTGTCAACATTACATTTCTACTTTTTATTCACTTTCTTTTTCTCCTTTCTTTGGAAGCTACATTCTACTGGTTCATTGATTGAGTCTTCAACCCTTAGTTGTGTCGAATATACGAGAGTTCGAGTATCCAGCATAGATGTGGCCGGCGTCGCAATTCTTTTGGCGAAGTTGAGACTATAGATTCTCGTCAAGTTTTGACTTCCAATCATAAAATAAAATAATTGGCAAAAGGATATTTATGAATTGGGTTGGAAAAACTCTGGACATTTTAGAAAATTTTGTTGACTTTGGATATTTGGTATGCCTTGAAAATTTTGTAAAGGTTTTGAAAATTTGGTAGGTATTCAAAACTCATCGAATTTAGTGGGATTTGAAAATTAAGTGCACTTTAATTTAGACAATTGGTGAGGTGTTTTGCAAATTTTTAGTGTTTTGGTAGGGGAACAGAATTGGAAAATTGAAGGATTTTGAAAATGATGACCTAAAAACCTTTGATGGTTAGTTATTGTCATCGATGGTGCGTCAAAAATACTAAAATAGAAGACAAAATCAATATAATCTTTAAACCTACCAAAGACTCAGAACTTTTTGTGAGATAACACAGAATGACATGTTGTTAAAGATAAAAATGAAGATGGAATGAGACCCACCGTTCTTTTTCTTTCTTTCTTTCTTTTTTTTTTTTTTTGGTTCAACAGGATGTTACAAATACTGAAATAGCAACTAAAACCATTACAATTTTTTAACCTACCAAAAACATGGAACCTTGAAGTAGGATGATACAGAATGACATGATGTTAAAAATATAATAAAGATAGAATGAGACCCACTGATTTTTTTTTTCGAACGGGTTGTCGAAATAACTAAACTAGCAACAAAAACCAATGCAATTTTTTAGCTTACCAAAGACTCATAATCATTGAAGCATGACAATACAGGGTGACTTACTGTTAAATATGAAAATGAAAATGAAATATGACCCGTCAAATGATGGCTCTTTCATAATTAAAAATTAAGGACAAAAAATTTCTCTTTGAACAAGTAAGTAGTGTTTGGTTTTTCTTTTTATTTATTTTTCTTTTGTTTAATGGGCTGCCCAATATACTAAAATCACTATGTCCTCTTTATGTTTAATTTCAATAGTACTGCCTCCATTTTGAAATATATGTCGTTTTAGGGTTTGGTGAATTTTTTTTAAATATATGTTGTTTTCACAAATCGAGACACAGTTGACCACTTTTTACCAATGTTACCCCTGCATTGGGAATGAAAATATTTTTATAATGAATTTCTATTGGTTTGTGATGAATTGTATAGAAAATAAATAAGGATATTTTTGTATTTTAACTACATTATTTAATATTTTCTAAGTTTTGATGAATCCTCTAGAAAGACGTATAAAAAAATGGAGGGAGTACTTTTTTATATTTACATGTTTTGATGTATTCTAGATTGAATTTGATTGAATTTTTTGAAGGATTTTATCCCCATATGTTGCCGTTGGTGGCACCTGCATCAACAACACCTTTGCAGGTATCTAACCTACCAAAAAATTTAGAATCATTACAGCAGAACGTTATAAAGTGATATAATATTAAATATGAAAATGAAGATGGAGCGGGACTTGCAAGTTTTTCTTCTTCTTCTTCTAATCTATTTTTTAACAGACTACCAAAAATACTTAAATATTAGCCACAATGTTTTCAGGTTTTTAATCTACTAAAAACTCAAAACTTTTTAAGATGAACGATGCATAGTATAATGCTGTTAAAGATGAAAATGAATATAGAATGATTCTTTTTTTTATCTGTTTTTTTTTTCAACTGGCTGCCAAAAAGACTAAAATAGCAGTCAATACCATTGCATATTCTTAACCTACTAGTGACTCAGACCTTTTTAAACAAGACGATGTAGAGCAACATGCTAGTAAAGATGAAAATGAAGATAGAATGTGACTCGTCGGAAGGGTGCCTTTTCATAATTAGATGACACTCCTGAAGAATTTCTCTTTTGACAAGTAGTTCTTGGTTTTTTTTTTTCTATTCAATGGGTATTGAACTGGTCGCCTAAAATACTAAAATAGCACTCAAGACATTTGTAGGTTTTTAACCTATCAAAGAGTAATAACCTTTTCAGAGTGAAGTCCATAAAAGGTTTTAAAATCTTTTTTTTATATCGAGGATCATGAAATCTAAACCTCGCACAACAAATTTAGTTTACAAGGAAATCCTTATTATGTATAGTGTTGTTCTGATTGCTTTTATAACTATTTTTTTTGACTTTTCAAATATGATGACAACTTGTGTCATTTTACTCATGTTATCTGTTTATGCAAAACCGCAATTTTATTCACATAGGTTATACTTATTCGTAAATAAACAGTACATTTACTGAATCATCTTTCATATAAATATATAAAGATTTCTATATAATTAACATCGATGAAATATTTTGAATGTTAAGCTCGAATTCTCACGGTAAAATGCACGGGTACAACATTAGTATCCCTAAAAACTGTTCTCTATCATGAAATTAATTGAACTTTGCGGGGATTTTTTTTAAAAAAAAAGAAATACTTTTATTCTGGGGAAAAAAACTTACATTGATTTTTCCCATTTACTTCTCGAATAATACATCATTCAAAATGGTTAACAAAAGTTTATCCACCATCTATAATCCTGATTTATTTGAAGATTTATTTGAAGATTTCTTTACCGAAATACGATCAACCCGATTAGCCTCCCACAGCCGGTTATTCGGATCCATCGGCTTTAAAAATCGGTTCCCCGGTTCTCTGGTTCAAAAAAGGAAAGGCCTCTCTAGTCAACAAATAAACTATATCGGGTTATGGTTTAGTTAGGTGACAACTTGGAGGCAGTGGTTTAGTTAGGTGACAACTTGGAGGCAGCAACCAAATTCTCTGTGTATCACTCACTGTTTAAGATACTCAATTCTCTCTGTATCACTCACTGTTCGGGATTCTCAAATATACCTGCCAAATGCGCCAATCCGTGAAGGGTGATCCACAAGATGCGAATCACACAGACAGAGGAAATGATTACTGTGCTCTATCATTATTACATTGTACTAGTCTATTCCTAATATAGTTTACTAATATTCAAATCACCGTCATTAATGACGGATTCTCTTTGTACGGGGTAAGCCTTACGCACTGCCCCTGAAATATTTTATTTTATCAATAAATTCCTCAGGTACTAACCTGGTTTGTTAAAAAAAAAAATACGATCAACCCGATTATTATTATTATTTTAAGGAATCGTGCAAGAACTTCAATTAAAAGATTGACATTAATAAAGACAAGCTACAACACATTGTTCTTGGTTTGACAACCAAACTTCCCAGATAATAGGAAGAGCGCCGTGGCCAAAGTACACAACTGTAAGCCCAAACTAATATGGTACAATTGCTTCCTAAATCCTTGACCATCAACAATGAGATATGGGACAAAAGGTACACCAATTACCCGAAAAGAATTCGGCCAGCGAAAACAAATTGCGGATCAGTTTTTCACTGATCCAAAACGTATATCATTAGCTCGATCGGCAATTTTCTTCTTCAAATCTTCCATCCGGTCGTTCAACTTTTGCAGTTCGTCCAAAGTCATCTCTTCAACATGAATATCCCCTAATGCCCTATCTTCTTCCGCCTTCCTCCTGTTCTCTTTTCTTACTTCTGGAGGGGCTAACGAAAGAGCCAAACTGATCATATCCTCGTCCACATCTGTAGACTCCGAATCCGAGTGGGACTCCTGTTGGAGTACGCTGGTAACGCTTGTTTCCGGTGACTCGGATGACTCCCCGGCAGCGGCCTCGGTTGCCTTGACGTCTAAATAACGTTGGATGACCGAATCGAAATTTGGGTAACCGAAAGCGAAAAAATTTCCGGCCTTGGAAACAGCCATAACTGCAATCTGGCAATCGCACCTCTTGCACAACTCGTTGGCTTTCCTGAACAATCCTTGACGCCGCTTCGTGAACGTAACCAGCCTTTTGTTATTATCATCTATTTTCTTGATCTCAACCCGTCTTTTCGCCATTCTTGTTGATTCCAACAAACCGAAAATTTAACCTAATAACCAAAGAACCAAAGGAGAATGAAAGTTTCCAACTTTAGGGTTTCTTAAGGATGGCAGGAGAAAAAGCGTAAAAGCTAGAGAGTGTGGTATTTACAGGGAAAGATGACTCAAATAGGGGGAATTAGGGATGGATAAGGATTCCTTCAGAAGAGGGGCAAACAAAATTAATTAGGAAACAAAAAAGCTATAATTAATTTATGTACGTAATCAGTCCTCAAGAATAGAATTACTTCGCGTTAGTCCTAACGTGGTTTTATTTCAAGAATTGAATCGTTTTTATTTCCAATATATTGCGTACTGAAATAACATTAACCAATGTAGGCATGTAGCCACTCTACTTTCTTCTTACTTTTTCGTAACGTGATTTCCGATGTGATTTTAGTTGTAACTCGAGTAGAAAATACGGAAAGACGTGAAAGCTTATTCTTGAAGGATTAGGTTTTAAGTATAGTTTGCAAAACTTGCGATCTAAGATCGTAGGAGGTACCTAAATCGATCCTGGATCGATCAAACTCGAATTTTACAGTAGGATCGGTTAGGATCGATTAGAATTGTTTAGGATCGGTCAGGATCGTAGGATCGGTCTTAGTTTACTATTTATCAGTTACAAAAAATGAATGAGCTTATTGAGATTTTTCTTTTCTCTTACTTCTTTTTGGTTACATTCAATTGAGGCTAACATTCCTTGAGAAAACTTTTATTGCTAAGAAAATTTATTGTAAAAAGTTTTTCTAATAAAATGAAAAGAAAAACTATAAGAGAAGAGTTTTTACTAAAAAGTTATGAAAACATTCGTATAAGAAAATGGAATTTACACAATTATTTTTGTTTAAATGTTAATACTTTATGTAAAGATAATTGAAACTTAATTATCAAAGTAATTAATTATATAACATGTATAATTAAATTTACGATCCTACTATTCCAATCCTATCGATCCCGTTTATGATCTGATTCTAATACCCCATTTCGATCCTACGTAGGATCAGGATCCTACAAACACTGGTTTTAGGTACCACAATTTTCTCCCCAGAAATAGGATCCTATAGTCCAAAGAATTCATAAGTAATTTTAACTTTCCGATCACAGTCCTTCAAATCCAAAGTCTGAGATGCATATATGACAACTCTAAACCCTCCATCATCAAGCCAAATGCAAACAAACCTACAGTGATCAGATTGGAAGGGGTCTTATGCAAAATTCATCAAAGCATAAAACTCATGATACTATCGAGGAAATCTTGACAGGCCATCATAATTAGCTCCCGTGCGAACATAAGGCAGGAGCCTATTCCCACGAGTAGTTGACTTGTATAAAACAAAAAATAACAGTGCTACCCGGTTGGGATCATTCAAAATAACATTGTTTCGCGAAATTGTTGAACAATTGAAACCGTAAGAATTGGAATGAGGTGCAAAATTAGAGATTTCTCATCCATGGAATTTAGGATTTTCTTCTTTTGAATTTTTTGGATTCAAGAGGCAGGACAGATTTTACCTCCAATAATTACTGTTCGATAGCAGTAAAACAGTTACTTTTAAATTCTAGTTGGAATTGCATCAGTAGATTGAGGTCAGTTTCTCAACTTGAAACTTAACGTGAGATCATGCCCTCAAAATTTGGATCCAAGTTACCTCCAAACATTTCAATAAGATTGAAAAGATGTGAAAAAAAAAAACAATACTCTTCTCTCCTTAATTTCAATGAAGTCTTGGACCCTACTCCAGTGTTTGCAAGATCGTGATCCTACATAGGATCGAAATGGGGTCTTAGGATCGGATCGTAAATGGGATCGGTAGGATCGAAATAGTAGTATCGAAGAGAAAAGAAAAATCTCAATAAGCTTAATTAATTTTTTGTAGATGAATACTAAACTGAGACCGATCCTACGATACTGACCGATCCTAACCGATCCTAATCGATCCCACTGCAAAATTCAAGTTTGATCAATCTAAGATTGATTTAGGTACCTACGATCCAGGATCGCGAGTTTGCAAACTATGCCCTACTCAAACTAGCATTTAAAAGCTTACGATCCTTTCCCACTGATGAGGGACGGCGATTGGCCATTCTCAATGCTCAAGCCGAGGAATCCATAGACAAAGCCACCAATATTTCTCTCGAATCGCATGCCTCTGTCGCTCTTCAAATGATCGACTGATTTTTCCAAAATCGAATTCCATTTCAAATGAACTCCCACATCGAACCCTGAAAATCCCAAAAAATGTAGTCGGATGATTCTAGTTTTTTTTTAATGTTATCGATGAATGAGATAGCAGAGAAGATCTCTTAATCCAACTCTTGGCCTATTTACCGCCGACATCCCTCTTCCAGTTCCAATGTGTTTCTAAGAGATGGCTTTCAATAACAATTCCTCCAGATGATCCTAATGACGTATATTTCCGGCATGTCTGTTTGCGGCACCTATAAACCCGTCGCGCTCGCCCACTTTCTCTACCGGAAGAGGGAACGCAAAGAACAGCCGGAGCTCAATTTCGTCCCCCGTGGCACAGAGTATGTTAATCCAATGACTGACTTTGTGTTTTTATTATTATCGTGTTACTTGTTATTTTTTGTGATTAGTTTACTAGTCATGATTTACATTATCTATATTTTTTTTTCTAGCAAGAACAACAATTTGCCATAATTTTTTCTTTGGGTGAACAATTTGCAATAAGTTTTGTTTTCTTGTTTTCACTTGTAATTTTTTGTGATTAGTTACTAGTCATGATTTACATATCTATACATTTTTTTTCTAGCAAGAACAATAATTTGCCATAATTTTTTCTTTGGGTAAACAATTTGCAATAAGTTTTGTTTTCTTGTTTTTCCGGATTTCGTTTGTATTTTATGTATATTGTGGATTTTACTTCTAGAAGGATAAATGATGTCTCGTAGGTTTAATGAAGTGACTACAGTCTGGTCGACTGGACGGTTCATATATATATATATATATATATATATATATGAAGTGACTACAGTCCGGTCGACTGGACGGTTCAGTCATATGACAATGACCATTTGGTTAAATAAATCAATCATATCCGTTAGATCAAGGTAGACACACTATAAAAGAAGATAGAGTTTCAAACATTGGATAACTCTCCAAATTAAAAGACTAATAACCTGCTCGTCATGCTCAACCGGTTGTATATTATTATATTTTTTTTAACACTTTGCATCTCTCTTCATCACTGTTTGTTTGAGTGTTTTTTTCTTTTTCAAAAAAAAATCAGTACGACAGTACCCCTTTGTTTGTTTATCTTAAAGCTAACTTTGCAATATAAAGGTTCCTGCCAAAGATTCATTCCTGAAAAAAGTAGGGATAAAAAACACATTTTCAAAAAAATAGAGCCCATGACTTATTGATGATGAAAATCAAAATTCCATGGAATTCTGAAACAGTGTGGCGTCGCTTTAATCAATTGAAGCATTATAATTTTCTTCTCTAGGCATTCATCACCTAATACGCTCATAAGTACTTTTTATATATATTTTTTAAATTTTTGGAATGAAAAGTCCATCATTTGGTTCATCTAAGTAAATCATTTGTACGAACTACTAAGGGTTCAGGAGCATGTACATTTGGCAGAAATTGGGTTTCATCAAAATAAGAAAAATGTACATTTAAATCCTAGTTTGAGATTAACTACTGTTCTTCGATTACATTACAAAACTGCGCTTGATTATGTTTACAATGTTCCCAAGGAAATCGAGATTATATTGTTACCTTGGCGCCGGACAAAATCAGACTCAATGGCCTCACTATCTTCCACATCAACCAGCTTGTAATCGACATCCTTCTCGTCATGGCTTTCAATGGTAATGAAATTGGGATTCTAGGGTTATCGGAGACGCCATTGATGGATATGTAAGAATTGTGTTTTTCATTAATGAGAAAAACTAATAAATCAGTTCTTTACAAATTAGGACCTTATACTATGTACTAGCAAGACCTGATATGTTGCTATTTACAAGTATAACCCTCATGTATATACATGTATACTAATCAGCCTATATATTTACAAGTATGTCTCTTATTCTGTACAAGTACGTCAGCAACAACATCTTGTGTGCAATATTCATCATCCCCCTCAAGATGGTGCTTGATGAAGAGCAATCAAGCCCAGCTTGGCAAGAAATTCTGAAAACAGAGGAGCTGCAAATGACTTGGTAATACAATCAACAAGTTGCTCTTTTGTACTTATGTGATGAAGTTGAATGAAACCACTCTTGTAATAGTCACGAACGATGTGACAATCAATCTCAAGATGCTTCGTTCTTTCGTGAAAAACTGGATATTCCGTAATATAATGAGCAGCCTGATTGTCGCAGTGTAAAGGAACCAGAAAGGCATAAGAAACTTGCAGGTCACGCAGGATATACGATATCCATTTCAGCTCCCTAACAGTGGCTCCAAGGCTGCGATACTCAGCTTCGGCTGATGATGCAGAGACTGTCTCTTGTTTTTTTGTTTTCCATGATATCAAACATTGACCAAGGAATATACAAAAACAAGAAAGAGATCGTCTAGTTACCTTGCAGCTTGCCCAATCAGAGTCGGTGTAGGCTGCCGAGTCAAAAGTACTGGTGAATGAATAAAAGAGACCTTTTGATGGACACCCTTTCAAATATCTGAGGACATGCAACATAGCCTCCTAATAAGCCTCCCTAGGAGCTTGTGCATGCTAAGTTAACTGCTGAACAGCATAGGTCAACTCAGGGCGTGTAAAACCCAAGTAAAGAAGCTAACCAACAATGGTTCTGTAAGCAGCAGGATCTGGTAACCAAGAACCACATTCTTTATCTTGTAGAAAAAGATGACC